TGTGTGACCTTGGACAAGTGACTTAATCTGGGGCGTCAGTTGATCTGTAAAATGGGGAGAATGTTGCCTCTTCTGGCTGTTCAGAGGATAAGCTGTTTGGGGCAGAGGCTGTTAAGGCAGAGGGAACTGTACGGTTAAGTGGGTTAGTTTCCTATAGACGAAGTCTGGGGAAAGGGTGCTGCAGAAGTTTGTGGTCTGTCATACAGAGGCAGTTGGAACTGATCCCTGAATAAAGAACTTCTCTTTCAAGTACGTGGGTCCCAGAATGATTCCTGAGCACCCCAACTGTCTTTTACTGTGCCCTAACCTTGGCCATGCAACTAGTTGTAGGCACTCCTGTCATACAAATAGTTAACAATAATCATTGTCCTCTCAGCAATGGAAAACTTAATCTCAATAGTAGAGGCACTGTAGCAGCATTGACAAATTCAGGACACTTATAAAACAGCCGGCGATACCGCTTGAAAATGCAGCAGTTCAAAAAGATCCATCTGTTTCAGAATCTTGCTTTGAGACTTCAGTAGTTGCAGTTCCAGATTTCAACTGTGCGATTGGTCAGCTAAGGGTGTATCTACAGAGCAACTAGACACCCATGGCTGGCCCATGCCAGCTGATTCAGGCTTGTGGGGCTCGGCTGTGGGGCTGTTTCATTGCGGTGTAGGCTTGGGCTGTAGCCCAGGCTGACTTCTTGCATTACACAGGCCAGAGAATTTCACCCAGTAATTCTTCAATTCAGTAGCCTATGGCTGAACTGGCCCATATCTTTTAGGAGGACATTCCACCTTGAGTCACAAAATGAACTTTCTCACAGGCATGGTCATGAAAAGCGAATAAAAGGGAGTGTGAATGTGGGCAAAGGGAAATTCTATTAGGAAGTGGCCAAAATATTTTTAAATAACACCAGTCACCATTCCAAAACTCCAGTATGAATCCAGAATAACTCATCATCATAGTACCTAAATGCTTTCCAGCAGAATACGCTTGAAAACTATGGAATCAGTACAGATTAAAACCCGTGTAAATTAGAGGAGACTCTGGCTTTATAGCTTTCCTTGAATGACAAGCTTTATTTTGGAAAGGTATTATTATTTCAAAGTATATTAGACTATCATGATAGGAGAAATACACTGTTTTGTGAGAAAGAATTATATAAATAAAACAAGTATCAGGGGGTAGCCGTGTTTGTCTGTATCTACAAAAACAACAAGGAGTCTGGTGGCACCTTAAAGACTAACAGTGATTTTATTATTTAAAGGAGGTAAAAATTTAACCCATCAACCTCAGCAGTGTCCCTTTAATATCAGGTAAGTATGTGCCGGCGTGACTATCTGTGCTTGCAATTAATATGGAACGCTTGGCAGTATATACCAACGTGGGATGCGACTGTGGAATTGGGGCCTGAGCTAAAGCCTGCTGAAATTCATTGACTTAAATAGGCTTTAGATTGTGCTTCTGATGCATTAAATGTTCTCAGATAGGACAGTAACGTGCAAGGATATAATAAGCACATCTGTGACATCCACCATTTTGGCTTACCCAAAGGGTTGAACCAGAGACTTCTATATCTACACAGCCCATGGCAGTGAGCCTCCCAGCCTGGGTCAACCACCCAGAGCCTGAGCCACAACATCTCCCCAGCTATTTTCAGTGTGGTAGCACTGGCCCAAGTTTGTTGGCCCACAGTGGGAGGCTTGCTGCTGTGGTCTGTGTAGACAGTTGTAGCTAAATTGCTCGCCTCTGTGACTGGGGTCCATAACAGACGTTCATCACATAATACTTGTTGAACAGTGGGTTATGTACTTCCTCTGCATGCAGCAAGCTCATCCCAAGCATCTGAGGATATGTCTAAACGGCAATAAAAAAAAAACAACAACCCTTAGCACCAAGTCTTAGAGCCCGGGTCAATTGACTTGGACTCAGCTCACAGAACTCAGGCTGAGGGGCTGAAAGTAGCAAGGCAGATATTTGGGCTCGGACTGGAGCCTGGGCTCTGAGACCCTCCCAGAGCCTGGGTTCCAGCCCAAGCCTGAACAGCTCCTTTTTAGCCCCTCAGCCCAAACTCCGTGAACCCGAGCCAGCTGACCTGGGCCAGCCGCGGGTCTTTTATTGCAGCGTAGAAGTACCCTGAGGCCCACAGAATGCAGGATAACGCCCCAGTTGTGTGACCGTCACCATTTTGAATGAGGCACAGGTTTAAACCAGAGATCTTTCGACCTAAGACGGTGTCTCTATCGGAGCTAGAAGCGCCAGGCTCTGTGAGTCAAGCGCAGAGCGGACACAGGACACACGCTGAAGTGTTGGTTGCACGTATATACACCTGTCCAAGGAGATGAGGGATAGCTTAAAATGGCACAGGAATCTATGCACCTCTACAAGGCAGAGTGAAGTCAGTGGTACCCCACCCCACCCCGCCGCCCAGGGCTGTTTTTAAAAGGTACCCGAAACTGCTCTCTCCAGCTCTGCCTGTGGCACATGAATTTACAGTTGGTGCATCTGACACACATCTGGAGACAAGTAGCACAGAGCTCTGCGTGCTGGAACGGTGCCAGGGCTGAGTCCCCAGCCGTTGAAGAAGGATCCCTGGTAAAACTCATGATGGGAGGTCAGGCTCAATGAAAGAGCCCCCAGTAGTTTCAGAAGGAACACCAGCACCTCTCCTGATGGGAGGTCAGACTCAATGAACGCCTGCCCTCCCCCCTTGCTCCGGCAGCTGAATTCCAGTGTTTGGCTGAACTCCAGAAGATTAAAATAGCGTCCTTAGAATGTCACCTCCGCAGCACTGCCAGCCAGAGGCCTGACAATCCTGGGGTTGTACTCCAACACGAGTCCCTCGGGAGGCTTTGCCCGAACAGCTGAGGCACAGAGTAGGGCTAAGCAGTCAGGGTTATTGCTCGCGTGACTCAGAGTCAAGGAAGAGCAGGCTCAGGATGGAGCCAGGAGAGGGGGAAGGGGCTCAAAACGAAACCACAGAGTGTGAAGGGGGCTGGAGAAAGTGTGACCCAGAAGAGCTTTTTTTTTTTTTAAACCCTTGTTTGGGGCCCGATTTAGAGCTGACATATATGGGTGTAACCATCAGCGTCAATGTAGTTACACCACGTAGTCCAGGTCGCCATTTGGCCCTTTGCTTGTGATCATTTGGGGAGAGAAGAGCAAGGGACGCAAGTAAAAAGGCAACATTCTTCCCACTCAGACCAATATAAAAGGAACAATGAAATGTTCCTCTCTGTCCTGCTCTAGCTGGGCTTGCCCCTCCCAGGGTGCAGAGGATGTCCCCCTGCAGGACTACTGTTTTGTTATTCATGATCCAATACGGGGAAGCAAGATGGGGGGAGTGTGTGCTGTAGAGCCACAATTTTAAAAATGTGTGTGGAAAATTCGGCACCTGAGTGCATATGTAGTCACCTAAATAAAATGACCTGATTTACAAAAATGAGGAATGCCCTGAAATACCTTTGACTTCACGGGGAGCTGTAGAGGAGCAGCAGGTCTGGAAATCAGGCCACTTCTATCTAGTCACCTATGCAGGGATTTAGGCACCTAATTTTAGGCACCCACATTTGAAAATGTTTGCCTCGGGGTGAGATTTTCAGAAGTGCCTAAGACACTTAGGAGCACAAGTCCCACGGACTTTCAGGCTAAAGTTCTATGCGAAGGGTTATTCCGAAGACAATCAAATATTTATTGACCATTGGTTGAAAAGCGATAAGAAACCACAAGCATAATTAATAAAGTGTTTCTAATCTAACTGAATGTACCATCATTTAAAAAGAGAATTCCACGCAGCATTCCAGGAAGTGGGTGGTTTATTAATAAAGAGAGACGTTTGTTTGTGTTTGAAAAAAATAACCTTTTATTTGAAGATAGAATTAAAAAATAAGGTAATAATTTGCTTGGAAAGATGATAGTTTACATAAGAAAAGACAATGCAATTGGATAAGACAACAAAATGGTTATCTGTTGCTGTCAGAAGAGCAAGTCACAAACATGCCAATAAGAGTTTGTTATTTTTTTCCAGTTGGTTCAAAAGCATTTCCGTAAAACAATGTACGACACAGAGGCAATTATAAAACAGCACTGTCCTTCCTCTTCAATAAACATGACAAACTTGCTGTAAAGTCTTATAAGAATTGTAATGCTCACCTGGATATCTTCTTATACAAAGAAGAAATTTAAAATCCGGGTTAGCAAAAATGTACAAACAACCATACTCTAAAAATGCATGGTACATGCAAAAATGCACCAAAGTCATTTAAACACAAGCAGACAAAATATTCCTTCTTGCTAGTGGTGGTGTTTTTCTAGTAAATCTCCTTTGTATTATTGTCCGTGGTTTAATTACGCATTTTCGTGTAGCTTAGTACGTGTGATGAAATTGTTAATCCTCAGAAATTAAAATTTAAGGAAGGAGATATGATTGAGGATCGTGTTTTACTTCACGTTAAGAAGGTTTTTGGCCTGTTGTCTAACACCACTTTGGCTAGGTTTTGTTGAAATATTTTCTAATGCATGAAGGTGCCCTAGGGTTTTCAATGGGATGTGAATATTCTGAAGCTTACAATGAGTTCACCTGTCTTGGCCGAGCTGCGGGAACATGCTAACGTTTACATTACCATATATACTTGTGCAGGAGCTATACGGAGATGACAGATGGCCCAGTAGTTAGGGTGCTTGCCAGAGAGCTGGGTTCAATTCACTGCTCTACCACAGACTTCCTATGTGATCCTGGACAATTCACTTATTCCTTCTATACAATGGGGATAATAGTACATGGAAAGTGTGCTCAGATATTATGGCAGATATGGGGCCATCCGAATACCTAAAATAAATATGCTGACCCCCCCCATTGCAGAAGCAATGATGACATAAACAAGCACCAGTGTCCTATGTAGACATCAATCCCATTGTATTTCATTTCTAAAAATGACAGTGTTCTCCTTTTCTTGCTTAAATGCTGCAGGTTCAATCTTGATCCCCTTAAGTACTATCATATTGCTGTTACAGTGCTTTCCTGTGTCTTCTGAGGGGACATGTGAAGAGGAGGAGAAGTGGAGTTACAATTCCCTAGGTAGGCAATGTCTGCCATCGCTCTTGACTACAATTGGATTCTATGATACACCCACTGTGCTGGTTCTACTATATTTTCACAACATGCTTTAAAAGCCCAGATTCACACCAGAAACACACCCAGGTGCAGATTCTGTCTGCCATGTCATTGCATGTGAACACCTGTAAAACAATAAGGCCTGTACAGCAGCCAGACTGTCTGTCGGCCCTCCAGCCAGGTTCTTATATTGTCAATTGTCTGGCAGTCCTGGTGCCTGGATTTCAGCAGCCGCTAGTGCATCCCTGTCCTATAAACAGAACGTATAGACTAAAACCACAATTTTCAAACCTGGGTTTTCAAAGCGAGGCTCATACACTCCTATTGGGCACCTAAATTTAAGTGATCTGATTTTCAAAGTAATACCGCATTTGCAGTTTCCCTTGACTTCAGTGGGAGCTGTTTTTTCCCCCAGCACTCTGAAAATCAGACCACTTCTGTTTAGATGCCTGACTATAGGGATATGAGCCAAATTGTGGCTACCCAGGTTTGAAAGTTTTGGCCTAAGAAGAAATTGCTTTCCTTATATGCCCGATGACCACTGTCCACTGAGTGTCTGACCCACATATATGATGACCTAACAGTGGCCACTCAGCAGATCTGTGGGATGATATTTGAAGATTATACACAAGTATATATGGTAGTTATGGTAGTATGTATGTATGGTAACACCTTTTTTTTAAATTAGGGAAGAGTAAAGGCTCCGGAAATGTGATTTAAAACAGCCTATGTGAGTTGCAAGAATGCAACAGCACTTGCCTTCTAAAATTCAAAAAGAACTAGGTTTCCATGATGTCTGATCAGACAAAAATAATATTCCATGTAAAGAACATTTTGAGGACTATGATTCACTCGAATAGATCTAATATTTCTTATCTGACCAATTATTTTTCTAAAATAGTATTTAACACATTTGAAGTTATCAAAAATACCTGTAGTCTCGAAAATTATTTTCATTTTCTATTTTACTTAATATACATGCCTCTTCCAGTAGTTATTCAAGAAGCATGAGTCAAATCACACTCATTTATTCTTGGCTCATGGCCATCCTCAACATATATTTCGATATTTTCAAACAGTTTATAGATACATATGCATGAAAATAGTGTAGTGTAAGGTCCCTTGATCACACTTAACAGAGCATATATTGTGCATCTGGATATTTACAAAGATTTAAAGCACACAAAATTGTGCATTATACTATACCAAAGTTTAAACTTTAACATACACTCAGTTGCATATATAGCAACGGGTTACAATAAAAATCTGAACAAAGACAACCAATAAACAGCCAAATTGCTATGTACAAACAAGGCAGGAAGCAATTAAACACTGCCTTGCTCATTTCACTTAAATTACTTTTTCTCTGGGGAAAAAAAAAAGCAGCCTTTAATTCTTTTTCAATTAAAAAAGCTGGGACCAAATTCTTCCCAGAGGCAAGCCCATGCGACTCCCATTGCATTTAACGGAGGATGCATTTGTGTATCTTGGGAATAAAAGTGGTTCCTTTCTCTTTTTTAATGTAGTGTTTAATTATGAAATAGTTGCCTCTGTCACAGTACACAGCGCGGCAGCACTGAAGGCTGCATCCTTCAGCCCTTTCCTCTGGCAAAACTCCCATTGACTTCAAGAAGGATTTTGCCTGAGATAAGTGCCCTAGTTCTCCTCTGACTTGTACCAGCTTTACAAAGGTCTAACTCCACTGGCTTCTTGGTGAATCCCCTGTGCCAGATCCTCAGCTGGTGTATCAGTATAGCACCTTTGGAGTCAATGGAGCTATGCTGATTTATACCATTGAGGGCCTGGCCCAGTTTCAGTGGGACTACTCTTGATTTACCCTGGTGTCAAAAAAAGAGGGGAGTTAGGCCCAAGCAGCGTATGAGTGGGCCCAAACGGACCTGGATATAAATCAAAATGCAATGCAAGAAATCTGTGCCCTTTAGCAAAAAAATTGCCACTGGGCTGCTGGTTAAATGACTGTAGTTCACAGTTTGAAGGAAGAATAGCAGTAAATTAATCACATTCTTTTATTTCTAGATAAATTAAATAGTAACTTTTGTCCCCCAGAATTAATGAATAATAAAAACATAAGGCAATGATGACAAAAGAAAACAAAACAATATCCCTTTTTCTTCCTAGCAAAAGAGGAGATTTTCTGCAGTCAAGTGATAAGAAAAAACAAATAACCCTACACTGTCCCTGTCATAACATGACCAACTTGAAGGCTAAATCTTACCCCAGCTGCAGTGATGCATAAAAGGTTATAGGTGGGCTCTTCTTTCACTCAAGAAGACACAGCTAGAAGACACAGCCAGTTAACATAAGGGCTCAGGTACATCAGTTTTGAGAGTCATGATCTGTGGGTTAGCAAGAGGTCTAACTAGCTTCTGGCTATATGTAGGGCCTTATCCAAAGCCCTCTAATGTCAGTGGAAAGACTGCCATGGTCATTGCAAGCACTAGCTGGCAGCAGGTGTGGATGCCTTTTGTTCCTGCACGGAGGAGCGGCACTAGAGCACCTTTCCTGGGTCACCTCAGGGAAACTTGCTCTGGCCTTTTTGCAGAGGATGTCACCGGCCTGCACCCCTACTTCCCCGCTCTGAGTCAATGAGGGCAGGACTTAGCCTTGTTAATCCTCCTCAGTGGAAGCAGAAGAGAAAAATATAGATATATTCAGAAGTATTCTTACTACTTATGTGCTGCTGTAGTGGAAAAAACAGAGACCAAAACTTGATGAAATCGGTGTTGTATGAAAATTCAAGGCCCTTTTCTAAAAATACTTTTTGCTGATGGCAAAGTTCAACACCTCAGAGAAACTCTGAATCAAAAACTTAGAATAAGTTTCCAGACTGTACAGCATATTTTCAAATACACTACACCCTTGTTGTTTGTAAGGCTGCATTGAAATTTTACATAACAGTCATGAGCCATGTGTTTAAACATCTTAAAAGAGTTGACCAGCAACTTAATGCATTTCTTTATAACCCACTGAACGTAAAGATGCACCATCTCTTTCCAAAACATTGCTCTTTAAATACTCCAAACATAAACGTTCAGGATAAAATATTCCATTCCCTCCTCCCCCCCTCACTGGCTCCATTTTAAAATATTTACACTACAGCAATGAAGTAATAATTTATAGCTTTCTGTGCGTGCACCCTTGCTGCATGGCAAATCCAGTCATTAATTAGTGTGTAGAGGCTAATTCACAGAGCAAACATGCAAGCACAGGAGAGGAGACACTCAGCCATAGGTCTTTGAGACAACTTGTCAGTGCGCAGGCCACCTTCTTGCAGATGTAAAATCTTCCTAGTTATACACTTAGCTACCTAATTGCCAGCACAAGTTAGGAAGTGAGACATGTATCCAAGCAGACTTCGGCCTGCAATTCATTTGTGGGAGCTCAAGGAGCAGGCACACATTAGGTTTGCAAACAGGAAGGGGTACACTCAGCCCAAGTGAAAATACCCTCCTTCGCGGGCAAATCAGAATGAATGTCGTGTACCTGATTTTAGAGCAACAATCCAGATATCTATCTGGATGTGTGTGAATCTTGAATGCCCATTTAAGGCCAGGTCTTCAGTGGAGCTATGCTTATTTACACCAGAGGAGGATGTGACCAATGAAATTCAACTGAATCGTAGCCATTGAACCTTGGCCTTTTATATATCTATGCAAGATTCTTAGAGGGGAAACTGAGTTTTATTGGGTGTGCTGTCTAATGGTTGGAACAAGGGACTGAGATTCATCATTAGGTTTTATTCTTGATTTTAAGGCTTTATTCTGGGCTCTATTATCATTTTGTGGCCTTGGAAAAGTCACTTAGCCTCCCTGTGCCTTGGTTTACCTAACTGTAAAGTGAGGTTAAGATTTACCTACTTCACACGGGTCTGTTTTGAATCGTAATTACTTGTGAAAGGATTTGGAAGATCCTGCCATGAAAGGTGCTATAGAAGTGCAAAGTATTCTGATTATAACTGTATTTTGTTCTCTAATACGGAAAGGCACATTTTCCCTACTGTTTATTGCACTGGGCACTCATTAGTATTCTTATCAGGGTCTCAATGACTCACTTGATGGCCAGGGATGGTGATTAGTAGGACAGGTACTCCACCCAAATGACCCCCCCCCCCAAAGTCTTACCATCAAAAATACTTATATCCAGTACCTATCACTCACTGCTTCGACGGTTCAGCTGGTCTGTTTCAAAATGAAGTGATGACATGTGGTTGTGCTTCTGAAAGTTAAAGTATGTGTGAGAACCTCAACGTGGAGGTAATGGGATGAAGGAACTGTGCATTGATTAATGTTATTTAAACAGTGTTACCTATAGCAACCTTGGAATGAAGATAGGGGGCTGAATCGTGAGCTGGATTGCAATCTTCAGGCCGAATTCTTTGCTGGTGTAGATAGGCCAAACTCCATTAAAGTTAACCCATTCACACCAGCAGAGAAGTTGGCCCTGGGAATTTTATTAGAGGAAGGGCTGCTTCTGGAAAATCAAACAGCAGGGGCAGATAAAAAAAAGCGGGGGCGGGGGGGCAGAGTGGGCAGTTTTCAATCTATGTTTGACTAGCAGGGCGTGGCCTGTTCTTTCTGATGTGGACCTTGGTACCTCCAGTCCTAAGGTTGCCATATCCTTGAAGAGCCAGAGCAAGGTGAGGTGGTTTTCGATTTAGGAAAGCAGTTCTCTAGAAAGGCCCATGTAACATCTCTTTTTACCACATCACAGTCTGCAAAAAGCTTTGGACCTAGTATTTTATTCTTATGAAACACCTTATGTGGCAATAGCACCGAGAGGCCAAACAGGTCAGGGCCCCATTGGGCCAGGCATTATATTTTGCACAGTTGCAGGTTTTGCCTGCAATGCACAAGCACCAGATTGTCCTGGTCCGTGTTGATAGGGGCATTATACCAGTGACCGTGAGTCAACGTGACAAGCTGGTACTGACTTTGCTGCCAGTAGACATCACCAATTTTTGGTTCTATGGTACACTTTCTAGGGGCATCAGGATTTCCCCTCCAATGTGAGATAAAACCTACAATTCATACAATTCCCACTGCAAATTAGCACCTGAATTCCTTGCCCCTTTCTCCCCATGGAATTTTCAATGTGGGTCTGATCTAAAGCCATTGAACTCAATGAGAGTCTTCTCACCCTCATTGAGCCTGACTGAATATGTTCCTGGTGTGATGCATCAGGAGTTACATATACAATTCCCACGTATAATAAGAGGAATTACAGATTTAAACCCCTCAAAGAAACTGCTTCCTTATATCAGAGCAAAGACTCTTTTCTTGGCTTCCACACACCAACCGAGTATAAAATGGCAAATAACTTCAATTTTTGAATTTATGGATTGGGTGCTAAGCATTAGGGGGATTTTAATAGCACTGGGGTTAGGAATGTGGTATTTTAATATGGCCCACAGATCATGGGGCAAATCCTTACCTTCATATTGAATTCAAGTCTCTTTATTGGAGGCCTTACAACTTATCCATGTGGAATTTAAAACAGTGAAAAGGAGAAGGCTGGGCGTACATGGAATGAGGGCATTTAACCCACAGGAAGGTGGCCTATAAAATTAAACTTTAAGAGCTGTATAAGGAAAAATAGAAGTCAAATGCTTGTGCAACCGCTCGGGTGGAGGTGTCCCTCCCCTTTAATTAATTTCTCCAAGTCTTCAAGATGTATGTAGTAACATGACCCAAGAGTTACACCTCTGATTAATATGGATTTAGTTTTCTAGGACATCTTCTGAAGGGTGAGAGTACTGTGGGCCTTAATTAGCTGGAAGTGACAAATCAATGGTGGATTTTGATGTGTCCTTAAGAAAATGGGGCATTTCAAGTCAATATTTTTTTCTCCTGTTAATGATATTGATATTTACAAAGTGATCAGAGATGGGGCCTGAACCAAAATCTTTGATGCAAACTGCCCCTCAATTTTTCCCTAATCTAGATCAAACTCAGAATTACTATAATGGTCTAAATCTAAACCCACTGATCCAAACAACCCTGAAGTTTGGAGGGGGTATTTGGAAAAAAAGAAAAGGGTATGGGTATGAATTTTATGGCTTAGATCCACCTCCGATGGCAATCTGAGATTGCCTATAACAAGGTGAAATTCATCCCCATGCAAAGGGCTAGAGAAAGTCCTGTGCCTACGCATTATTCATTCACTAGTCAGGCCAGCTACGGCAAACCCCGCCAATACCCTCTGCTTTCCATCTAGAAGGATTCTTTCTCATCTAGGGATGCAGAATAAGTTGGTATTTATGCTCTTTTAAATTGAAGCCTTTGAAACAAAGCATTCAGTGCTAGCAATTGTACTGGGCTATGCCAATGTTTAGAGTTGGCCCTGATTTTTTGTGATCGAGACACTGAACTGGCCAGAAGCTGTGGCATTTTCATTCACCAGAGCACTCAGTGCTTTACTTGTATACCAACCAAATCCACACAAAGTGCATGTTGGGAAGTGGAAATATTTATAGCAAAAAACAAACAAACAAACAAACAAACAAAAACCCCCATAAAAGCTTAGGACCACATTTCTAAAGTGACTTTAACCAGCTTCCCCAAATTTTGCAGGCAAAATCATATGTGCCTGAAATTCTGCATGCCCAGACATTTGTGTGAGTAATTAAGCACATTTCAATGCCTAACTACCTGATTTGCCACCATGCAGCATTAAGTTAGATGGTAAATGTTTATTATTTACACCTGCAAAATTGCAGATGCAAGTGATTTGGCATGCGCTTTTGGGAATACCCATTTAAGGCCAGATCGTCAGCTGGTAAAGTAAGTGGAACGAGATGCCAGTTAAGGATCTGCATTTTAAAGGTTGTTTTGAAAATATGGTCCTAATTCAGAATGCTCACAATGCCATTTTGGGGGCGGTGCGAGGCAGTGCAACGACCTAGTGCAAACTCCTAAAGCGTGCTACTGAATACTTCAGAGATGGGAGAATTTGATTGATCATCCAAACCCATTTCTTGTCCCGTGGCATCGTGCAAATCTCCACGTTCTACGGACTGCATGCTCAGCGCCCAAGGCTTGCCCTCTTCGCCTAATAACGTGGTTTTGTAGGGCTCCACATATATCCTACGGATATTCTGCCTCGATTCATGGTACTTGCCTTTCCCATCTTCTGGGAGGCTCGAAGCATGAGGTAAGAAAGTGCTCCGAGGACCATCGACGGGGATCCTTATTTGCTCGCTGGAGGTAGTCTCCTGTGATAATTCCGTGGCTCCTGTGAGATGCTGTGTGTACACGCCCTCGGAAAGAGAAGCGGGCTGCGTCTCGCTGTGCACTCGCAGCCAGCGATGGTGCCGGCTGAAGTAGTTATAGTGCTGATGTTTCCCTAGCTTTTTTTTTTCCCCAAGAAACTCAAAGACTGCCTGGAGTTGGAAGTCTTGTCCAGGCTTTTTGACGTGAACCCTCCCATGGTCAGACTGTTCATGTACTCTGTGCAGTATTCAGCATCGGCATCCAAGTCACTTCCCCCTTTCGGGTCTTCTTTCAAAGTCAGGTGAGGCTTCATATCATGGATCTGGAGGACATCAGGTGCACTGCCGCCCAGGCCACCCACTGCCTGTTGGGATATGTCATGTGAGGATGAATAAACCAAATCCAGTTCTCTGGGGCTCAATGCATCACTGGAATCATAGTCGCTGTCGGTTGGAAGAAATACTTCAGAGCAGCCTTCTTCGTCCGAGCAGGGCTGGGAATCTGAAAATAGAAGGCTCATTAAAACCGAATAACCACTAACTTGACACACAGCCCCACTTAAAAGAACTGCTTAATACACTTAATATATTTTCTTAACGTCGGAGCAAAATGATTATCAGACATGCTTCTGGCAACCTCTGTGTATTTCCGTTGTGGAATTTTCCATGGGGCCAGGTGACAGTAGCAAAGAGGAGACGGTTGTGGTGGATTGATGGGCATGCTAGCGAGGAGATAACGTCACAGTAAGAAACAGGAAGGGAAGAAACGACTAATGAAGTGACGGGAGGTGAGCAAAGGGGAAGAATTGGGGTTGAGAGGAAATTTTGAAGTCATCTTGTTTTCTGAGTTTCCAACGGAATTTCATGGAGACTGAAATTTTGGATATTGAGAAACTATAACCCAAATTCTGTTCTCTGTTAAGCAGTTCATTGATTTACACCTGTGTAATCGAGAGCAGGATGTGACCTTACAGGTCTTTAACAGGCATGGACAAAAGATATATAGCTGCATGAGCAAAGGCTGCCCTTTTGAAGGAATGTTTATCCAAGTCCCAAACTGACAAATTTAATCCACATGTGAATTTATTAATCAAAGTTCAGACTGGCTCCTGCACTCATGTCATTGCCGTTCTTTTGTCATGGGAGAATCAGGGCCAAGTTCTGTAGTAATGTAAATAGCGGTGGATGTGACATCATGGGTCCGATTCTCTGCTGCCCTCTATCGGGGTCGTCCGTCACACCAGAACAAAGCAAGCACAGTGTCGGTATAAAATAGTACCCACTACTCACCTTGCATTGGTATACATGACCATACACAAGGTGCAGGGCAATAATGAATCAGGTCCACCTCGGGGACACATTATGCTGTTAGATACATGGTGTTAATGCTAAGTATCTCCACCTAATCCAAGAGGATTATTCTGCATTTGCACCATGTTATTCAAAGGAGAAATTGGCCTAGAGAGAGCCCATGAAATCAAAGGAGAACATTAATATAGAATGGATTAAATCAAAGTCAGAGACACATGCTTCTATAAAGGCCACAGTTTCCACCCAAATTCTTTGGGCTTTTTCTTTTTTTTTTTGCTTTTACTCTAATAGGAGCAGATTTATTTGGTTTTCTTGACAGTAGGAAACTGCCATTTAGAAGTAAAAATAAATTATTATGACCAAAAAGGCCGTGACAGTTGTTCCATGCAGCATCTGCAGCTTTTGTTTCTACCATGTCATTAACTCATTGCTTAATGACAGCTCAGCAGAACAGTGATTTATTTTTTTCCCCAAAGTCCTTATTCTATTAATGAAACAGGCACTGTCATTTAATTTGCTTCCTTTTTCCTTTGCTGCAATCCATTTATTTCATCGATTTAATTTTCCAGCTATTCAGAGCAGCGATAGCAGCCGATGAAGTGGGTATAACATTTTACTAATTTGCTTAATTTTATATTCTTAAAGGGTCCATCTCGGATCACTTGGGACACCGAGCCATCTGAAAACAACAATTAAACCCAATGGCTCAAAAAGTCAGCTGCTCCGTCAATACAAAACCAGATGAGCATAGGAAAGAAATAGTGCAAAAAGAGAGTTGTCAAAGGATGGGCGGAAAATATGATCCAAGATGAACATGTAACAATTGACCTCTGAAGTGTTTTTTGATGCCTCTGTGGAGCACTAAAACCCTCAGACATGATAAGATACATCCTGGGATCACTATTCCATAGCCGCTTGTATTTCATATTTTGCAGTTCACAGGACTTAGTCATCATGGATGAAATTCACCCATGTACAGCCCAGCCCAGGGATAGTGCACCACGTATGTCCTCAAAACAGGGCCTCAGAGATGCATAGGTCTTGTGTTGGCCATGTGCAGAAGGATGAATTTAATTCTGGAATACTTAGCATTGATATGGTTGCATATATGTTGTACAAACATTATAGCCCTCTGGGATAGCTACTGCAGGTTAATATCTTGACTTTACCGATGCGGAAACTGAGGCAGAGAGACAAAATGATTTGCCCACAACCACATAGCAAGTGGCAGAACAGAGATTAGAAACCAGAACTGCCAATATTGCCATCCCCACAGGCCAGACTATCTCCCAAGTACAGCATCAAATACAGTAAAGTCCAAATATAATGCATATGTTGGATTTAGCATGCAGTGGTGTTGGTGGCCTGGTATATACAGGAGGTCAGACTAGGTTATCTAGTGGGCCTTTCTGGCCTTAAACCCGATGGCTATGAATGTGGGGCAGCTCAGTGATTAGTATCGACCTGTACGCCAAAATGTGTTTTGCGTATGGGACTCCTGAACTGGAGGGTTGGTATGTTGGAGAGGAGCAGACACTTTCAGCACACTCTCTCACACTCATGCACCATGAAAGGTTTCAGAGTAGCAGCCGTGTTAGTCTGTATCCGCAAAAAGAAGAACAGGAGAATGCATCCGAAGAAGTGGGCTGTAGTCCACGAAAGCTTATGCTCTAATAAATTTGTTAGTCTCTAAGGTGCCACAAGTCCTCCTGTTCTACTCATGCACCAGTGACTGCAAGCCATTAATGGGTCTAAATGCCAAACAATGGAGCAACCCATGCAGGGGCTCTCTCCTAGATGGTCTGACTGACTGACTGGACAAAACCAGTCTGAGGCCAAAGGAAGTCTTCACAGCTAGGACCTGCAACAAAAAACATTGAGCAATAAAATATAGAAACTGGGCTCAGGTGCACACAGGGAAGATGGGGCTTTGAGAAAAGGGAATTTCCCCGAGAAGGGGAAGATTCTGGGAGACTAATGCAGGGTGAAATTTTTCTGTATGATTTTTCCAGTCAGAACAACTTTTTGTTTTGAAATTTCCTTCAATTTTATTTACCACAGCTACCTTTTAAAAATGCTCAAAACTGAAACAGAAGGTTTAGTTTGGGTCAAATAAAATGTTTTGTTTGACCCGAAACAATTTTTTAAGCAAACTTTTTGGTTAGGCAAAAATTTTAAAAAGTTTTTATTTCAGGTTGACCAGAAATGATTGTTTGATTTTCATTTTTCAGAACTGCCAGCCAAACAAAACATCAGCTTTTCACACAGCTCTAAGGGAGATACACTCTCTGGAAGGCAAGGGAAGACCAGACTGGGTCCCAAGAGCTGTGGGACTTGCTAAAAGAAAGCGAGTTAGTGTACTTGGACTTTTGACAAGGTTCCTCACCAAAGGCTCTTAATCAAAGTAAGCAGTCATGGGATAAAAGGGAAGGTCCTTTCATGGTTAAGTAACTGGTTAAAAAGTAGGAAACAAAGGGTCGGAATGGTCAGTTTTCAAAATGGAGAGATAAATAGTGGTGTCCTCCAGGGGTCTCTACTGGGACCAGTGCTGTTCAACATATTTATAAATGATCTGGAAAAAGGGGTAAACTGAGGTGGCAAAATTTGAAGACAATACAAAATTACTCAAGATAGTTAAGTCCGAAGCAGACTGTGAAGAGTTACAAAGGAATCTCACGAAACCGGGTGACTTGGCAACAAAATGGCAGATTAAATTCAATGTTGATAAATGCAAAGTAATGCATGCTGGAAAACATAATCCCAACTATACATACAAAATGATGGAGTCTAAATTAGCTGTTAACACTCAAGGGAGAGATCTTGGGGTCATTGTGGATAGTTCTCTGAAAACATCTGCTCAATGTGCAGTGGCAGTCTAAAAGGCTAACAGAATGTTAGGAATCATAAGGAAAGGGATAGATGACAAGACAGAAAATATCATAATGCTGTTCTATAAATCCATTGTATACATACATCTTGAATACTGTATGCAGATCTGGATGACCCATCTCAAAAAAGATATATTGGAACTGGAAGAGGTACAAAGAAGTGCAACTAAAATGATTAGGGGTATGGAACAGCTTCCATATGAGGAGAGATTAAAACGACTGGGACTTTTCATCTTGGAAAAGAGATGATAAAGAGGGGATATGAAAGAGGTCTATAAAAGCTTGACTGGTGTGGAGAAAGTGAATAAGGAAATGTTATTTGCTCCTTCACATAACTAGGGTGACCTGATGGTCCGATTTTATAGGGACAGTCCCGATTTTTGGGTCTTTTACTTATTATAGGCTGCTATTACCCCCCTCTCCCGTCCCGATTTTTCACATTTGCTGTCTGGTCACCCTATACATAACACAAGAACTAGGGTCACCCAATGAAATTAATAGGCAGCAGGTTTAAAACAAATAAAGGAAGTACTTCTTCACACAACACACAGTCAACCTGTGGAACTCTTTGCCAGGACCCATGTTGTTAACAGGGCATGAGAACTAGATAAGTTCATGGAGGATAGGTCCACCAGTGGCTATTAGCCAGGATGGGCAGGGATGTAACACCATGCTCTGAGTGTCCCTAGCCTCTGTTCACCAGAAACTGGGAGTGGGCAACAGGGGATGGATCTGAACCCTTTGAAGCACCTGGCATTGGCCACTGCTGGAAGACAGGATACTGGACTGGATGGACCATTGGTCTGACTCAGTATGGCTGTTCTTATGTTTTGGGTCTGTTTTACTCCTGTAACTCAAGAAGCAAGCTAGCTTAATTAATCTTGTAATGAAGTATAATGTTAGATGAGACTAATTTTGTGTTTTCTCTATTTGTTGTTTTGAAACCATTTTCTCTAATGCTTTGTTCCATTTACTAATAAACATACTTGTTTTAAGAAGGCTGTTGGTTGCTATTTCACTGGTCACAGGCTCCTGAAGTGAAGAGACACAGGTATCCAGTGGGTTTTGCATGATAATAAGCAGTTGGCATAGACAGGGTGTTGTACCCAGATCCCAGTCAAAGAGTGGGAGAATTGTGAATTCCATCCCAAGACAGGTAAGGGCATGAGGCTTAACACCCAAGGGGATGGGGATGGGGTGGAGCACTGATGGAGCCCGGATAGGGGCCAGAGGTGCAAGCAGGCCTATAACTGTGACACCAAATCATTTGGCTACAAGAACAGAACCAAGGGAACAGAACATTGGCATGCTATAGGCCATACCCTGCCCTGTTATAGAAAAATCCCCTAAGTGGGCCAGAAACTAAGGCTCATCTTGCAAAGTTTCCTTCTCAGGGGTGAGGCATTTGAAGAGAGGACAGGTTGTGAGTAAAGCGGCCATCCCAAACGCATGTAGATAAAACCTTCGTACCAAACCATTAGGTACTCCGGCTGGGGTTTCAAAAGAAGCCCAAGGGACTGAGGTGCCTAAGTCCCATTAACTTTCTTAGGTCCCTATGAAAGTCCCTGCTTCAATATTGTACGTGTGTGTGCGCATTTGCGCATGTATTTATTGGTTTGTATTGTCTGGTTCACTTCTTGAGGGCACTGCAGAAAATGGGAGCGATAGTGATTCATTGCTCCCTGAGGCCAAAAGGAGTCCTTCTGCTTACTTCACTGGGTGTTGGGTCAGGTCCAAAGGCAGGGACTTGAATGCAGAGAAGGTGATGTCTAGGCTGCCAGCCTGGGGAAGGCATTCCATGTGTGGGGAAAGAAGGGGGGTGGTGTGAAAAAAGAGACCGAGGAAAAAGGAGAAGACTGGGTACCATTGATGGTGAGGGGAAGGGAGAACTGGCGGGAATGATACTGCGGTGACTGGGGAGACTGAGCTAATAGATGGTTTTTCCATCTGCAATTTCTATAATTCTGAGATTATACTGAGAGTGAACGTTCAAGAAAAAAAACCCTGAAAGTAGGTATTGGAAGGCACTGTAATTTGATACCTCTTCCCCCCCCCCAATCTATGATTACCGTACCCAGCCTGTCAGCCTAAATAATAAAGCTAAAAATAAAAAAATAAAATTGAATAATTGTTAAAATACCTAGACAGGCATGGAAAAAATATCACAGACTAGCTCCCGATGTAAATGGGAGATCAAGGGGCCGTCTTGATGATTTTCTACTCAGGGGGAAAAAAATCCTTCTCTTACCACTCAGGGCTTTTCTCCTCTGGCTCCTGGACTCTGGTGAGGGTGGTGGTGATGGAAGACAATCTAGATGGGAGGATGTTGAATTTATTTTCTTCTGATTCTGCTCTTCCGACAGGTCCACAAGCTTTGTTACGAGCAAGCCAGCCACCGGCTGTTTGTACCTGGCATACTGCAGCGCCTCTGTGATCCATCTCATTTCACGCCAGATCTCGTCAATTTGCTTTGGAAGAAAGGAAAAAAGAAAAGACAAACAAAAACAGTGGAAATTTGCCATCACTCAATGCTGAAGGTATTGATTTTGGTTTTCTTTAAAAAATATAAAGAAATTGTCAGTTATTTTTACATATATATTTTTTTATTTAATGTTAACCAAAACGATGTATAGGGCCAGGGTATAAATCTACATAGCGCCATTAACAGAGCATAGAGAGATGGGCCCAAGCAAGGGAGTTCAAAACCAGACCAGCTTCAAGGGGTTTGGGTCCATGTTCAGGCCCAGGCCCATGCTTAGGGGCTGTCTCGAGGATGACAATTCTGTTTCATGGCAATTCTCAAGGTTTTGAAAGTTTGATTTGGTTTCGCATTGGAATGAAAACAAGAACATTTTCCCAAGAACATTGGGAACATTTTCAGGAAAATGGAATTATGTCAAAATGTCCATTTTTGGCTCAAAACCTGAGCTTTTTGATTCGGGACGTAGGCATGCATGAGCGTGACCTGGTGGTTACAGCAGACGGCAATGTTAGAGACCCAACGTAACTGCTGTGCCTGATTCAGAGCAGACTTGTTCATCCCAGATCATTCTGAAATCAGATAGAGCAGGGACTTAAACATGGGTCTTCTACATCCCAGGCCAGTGGCCTAACTACCAATTTACAGACAGTCACTCTCCCTCTCACCCCTTCCCCTAAATCAATACATATTGGGGGAGGCCGGAGTCAAGGCTCTGCAAAATCTCTGCCCATTTGTATCGCAGGGGAGTAGTGGCCTCATGGGGACCTCCACCTACACTGTGAACTGCAATGTGGGTGGCCCTTGCAGGGGAACAAGATGGCACATTGGGCAAAGTGTCAATCTTGCCCTCTTCTCAGTGTTGTAGCTGTGTTGGTCCCAGGATATTAGAGAGACAAGGTGGGGGAGGTAATAGTTTTTATTGGACCAACTTCTGTTGGGGAGAGAGACAAGCTTTCAAGCTACCCAGAGCTCTGCTTCAGGTCTTGGCGATGCCCAGTAAAAGGTATTACCTTACCCACCTTATCTCTCTAAGCTTGCCCATAACATGGAAAGCCAAATTCCCACTGACTTTCCCCATTCTCAAGAACTCCAAAGGGGTTACATAGTATTCAAGCCAGCACAGAATCTGACCTATGCTGTTACTTTTATTGATTTTACGTTTATGCCCAGAGGCCCTAATCCATCCAGACCAGGGCTCCATTGCGCTAGGCGCTGCACACACACACACACACACACACATATATAATATATAATGTGTACATATATATATATATATATATATATATATATATATAGTAGGAGA